GGGGTGCAGAGCAGACATGCAACACACAAAAAGTGGCGCACGCGTGACTGCGTGCAAGCTGCTGCTGGATTCCATGCGGCCGCGGCTGCACCCGCAGCCCACGCCCTCCCTCCCTTGCAGCACCCACTCACTTGATCACTCGGTCCTCTGGCTGCCAGATGCGCAGCACCTGCACGTGGGCTGCCTTGAGGAAGAGGCGCCCGTGGAAGCGCAGGCTCCAGAAGATGAGCTTGTAGTTCTTCAGGCCCTGGAAGGTGAGGCTGGGGTCCTTGAACACCAGGTCCTCGCGGTAGATGCCGTCTGCGGGGGGCCAGGGGGCAGCCAAGGGCAGGGGCAGGGGCATTTCAGGGGAGGCGCGCCATGAGGGGTACCGGCAAAGGACGCACGGGGCGGCCATGGAAGCTGCAGGGCTCCTTTTGCTGAAGCTAACGAAGGGTAGTAGTGCCTCACAACACAGCAACTAGCTGCACACCAGCTGCTGCCAACTCACAGTTGAGGTCCTTGACAAAGAGCAGCGGGTAGTCCTCGCGCAGCGTGCGGATCGCGTCCCCCACATTGGCAAAGAAGTCCTTCTCCTCGTCGTTCTGCTGCGGCGGCGGCGCCTGTGGCGGCAGCGGCTGCGGCGGCTCATTCAGGTGCACGTCTAGTTGCCGCACGGCGAGCGCCAGGCTGCTGGGCAACAGCACCGCTGTCGCAGGCGCCCGGGGCTGCTGCTGCTGGCACTGCTGCTGCGACCGCTGCTGCACCCGCTGCGGCCGCCGTGGCGCCTGCGTCTGACGCGGCACAAGGCGGCTGCTGGCAAGGGGCGTCGCTGGCACCGACTGGCCCGCCGCTGTGTCAGCTGGCGCGACGGCGGCCATGGCCGCCCAGAGGCCCTGCCCGCCGCCTGCTGCTGGCTGCAGTTGTTCTATCAGCGTTGGGACTCGAGCAACCCCGCCTCTACTGTGGCCGGGGCGGCTGCTGCTGCTGGGAGAGGTGCGGGGGTGGGCCGTGGGCCCGCAGGCAACCCTGGCGCAGCTGGCTGCCACCATGGGGCCGAGGCTGAGGCTATGTCGTTCCGGGGCCGCCGGGCTGTCGGTTTTACGGGCGCTTCTGTGGTAAACTGTGGCGTGGCGTTCGGTGCCGTCAAAAGCGGTGTGGGGCGTGCACAGAATCAATGAGTTGTTTGATAGGGCGCTTGGACTTGGGCCTGCATCCCTCTACGAAGCTACCAAAAAATTGCTGAGGTGGCTGCCGGCAATCCGGCAATCCAAAGTCTTCGCTGCCGGCATTACATTGATTACCGATCGGTCTGCTGGTCCTGTCAGTTTAAAGTGGGGCCTGTAAAGTGGGGGCAAGGTGGGCACCAGGGAATGTGTGCACACATGTTGGTCTCTTCGGTTGCTTCTGCTCCTATCGATTGGCGGCGTGCATGCACGGACACCAGGGCTGGGGTTGGGGCACGCTTTTGACCGCCTGGAGCCAGGCGCAACAAGTTCCCACCTCCGCCCAGTCCGCCACCTCCGCCCGCCTCCCACTCGCCCCCACCCGCTGCAGGCTCACGTGTGGAGCGCTCGTCCCGCAGGAAGTAAGGACACTAGGGTAGAGGCCTCTCATCATGCCGCCGCTGACCGCGGTCGTCACTGGTGCCAACAAAGGTGAGCAGGCACGGGACGGCAGCCTCTGCCGCAGCGCCTCCGGTTCCCCACACACACCAGCCCCGCCACCCGCCACGCAGGCATCGGCCTGGAGATCGCGCGGCAGCTGGCGCAGCACAGCGGCACCCGCACCGTGCTGACCGCCCGGGCGGCCGACCGCGGGCAGGCGGCGGCGGCAGAGGTGAAGCTGGGTGCGGCGGCGGGCAGCGAGGTGCTGTTCCACCCGCTGGACATCACCGACGCCGCCTC